GGGAGACCCCAATGGATTTCTAGTCCATCGCCTTAACCACTCGGCCACGACGACTTGTGAATTGCGGTCGCAATTGCGTAAGTGGTCGTACGAGCGCCTTTACACAACTGACACAGTGGTCTTAATTGCAGGTTTCATCGAAAAATGGAAAAAGGTTTCCGAGCTTGCCAGGATTCGAACCTGGAATCTCCTGATCCGTAGTCAGGCGCGTTATCCATTGCGCCACAAGCCCTAACACAAGCGCCAGTTGTCCTTTGTGATCTCTTACCGGGACCTCTGAAATGGTATCTGTTTTTTTTGGCGGCAAGATTCCTTGCAACGGTACTACATGCCCGGCTAGCTCAGTCGGTAGAGCACGAGACTCTTAATCTCGGGGTCGTGGGTTCGAGCCCCACGTTGGGCGATGTTATTTTTCCTGTCGTAATCAAACTTTTTTGAAAATTTCTGTGCCCTACAACTCTCAGAGTGCTGACAAGCAAACATTTTAACGAATTGGAGTAACCTGGTTTCGTGGTGTAGTGGTTATCACGTCTGCTTAACACGCAGAAGGTCACGAGTTCGAGCCTCGTCGAAACCTCGGATTATTTTATTTTTTGACCATTTTTCAAAACTAGGATATAAAATATGCTGTGTGTGCTTGATATAATTCTTCAGTTGTCTAACACAATTGCAGTGCATGGTTCGATTTAAGGATGAATCCCGCTACCATCAGGACGTATCTTGTCGGGGGTGTAGCTCAAATGGTAGAGCGCTCGCTTTCAGTCTGGCTTCCGCTTTCATAGTGAAAGGACGTATTTACCTTAGCTCTGAAGTTCAACCAAGCGAGACTTTATAATTAGTGTTCAATAGTGACTTGTAAATAGATTGTGTATATAACAACTATAGTGTAGATTTGTACATAAACTACGTTTGTTTAGGGGCCTTTTGGCCCCATTAACTGTGATATTTTTCTGTGATATTTTATATTTTGTGATACTTCTACTGTGATATTTTTTCTGTGATATTCTTCACCCCGCATAGGATAGCGGCGGTGTTATTTGGATACTTAAAATGGCGACGTCGGGACGACGCTACGCCAGAGAGAACACAGTTAAGGTAACAAATGTTGATATAAAAAAAGTTAGCATGATTGATTTTATTGTAGCAGTAGAGAATAGTATTGGAGAAGGCTCGTGTTTTGCATGTGTCCCTCGTCCCCCCAGTAGCATAGAAATAACTGTAGATTCCGAAGAAAATGCGATTAAACTATGCGATGAAGGTCTAGATATAAACAGTGACAAGTATTCAGTTGAGTTATGTTTCTCCAAAAACACAGTGGTATCCATCTTCAACCTTCCCAGTCATATTGATGACGTCGTTATTACAGAAAAATTAGAACAATATAAAATTGAAATTGTCGATAATGTAGTCAGACACTACTACAAACAGAGGCCCGATGTTGCAGACGGCACACGTCACGTTAAGTGCAAATTTCCACCCAATTTCCATTCGCTCCCATGGGCTATGCAATTTGACACCCCTGATGGCCCACAGACTTTCAAAGTCCTACATAACAATCAAAGCAAAGTTTGCTTTAAGTGTCTATCTCCGGACCATGAGAAGAAAGCCTGCCCCAAGATTCAGTGCCGAAAGTGCAGAGTATATGGTCACATGGCCTTTAATTGTGAAACAAGCAAATGCGAAAACTGTAACAGATATGTGACATTATGTGCATGTGAAGATGCCTTTTATGACACTAATGACGGGAGCAATGTGAGCAATATTAACACAGCCGACAAACCTATTAACCAAAAACGTGACTTAAGTTTATCTAAGGAAAACATACAACTTGATAAGAAACAACGTCAGGATAAAAGTATTAACGATAACACACCGGCCGAATCAACAAGAAAAGACGAAACCTTTTTGCATGACTTCTCCATTATTAATCCACAGTCCCCACCAGATCCAATACCCCTAACCGCAGAAACATTAAAAGAAAATATTGACAATAACGAAAATGAAGTAGATCAAGAACCCCACACCGATATAAACATGACCTTTGGACTCCACAAAGATAACACCGGGAAATTAAGGCGCACCCCCATACCCAAACTTTCTCCAAATAAGCTTAAAAACATCAAGACAAGGAAAGAATTTCCGATGAGTTCAACCCCAATGCCGAAGATAAACCCCCCGCAGAAGTAACAATGTCTAGTTTTTATGTATCATTTCTTAAAGTGTGTGTGATTTTAATTTTTAACCTCTCATTTATAATTTTAACAATGCCCAAAATAGTTACTTGGAACACCAATGGACTGCGAGATAACGATAAAATGGAAAAAGTTTTCGCATATTTAAAAGAAACCAAGTGTGACATTGTATCGTTACAGGAAACATTCTGGGATGAAGACTGTGTTGAAAGGGCCAAAGCGGTGTGGGATGGGCCTATTTTCGCAAGTAATCACAATAATAACCGCCGCGGTGTCGCAATTTTATGTGCAAACAATCTTAAAAATTCTATTATTAATGATTTTAAAGACACAAATGGGCGAATTATTCGTGTAGATTTTAAAATTGATGATTTTAATTTTAATATTTTAAACGTCTATGCTCCTAATAAGGAACTGGAAAGAATCGATTTTTATACCTCTGTTTTAAAGTTCTTAAGTTCAGGATCTATTTTATGCGGTGATTTTAATGACGTTTTAGATCCTTATATGGATAGAGCCAAGGGTATGGGCTCCAGTAAGCAGAGTGTTTCGGTTTTTAATAATTTTACTTCACGCAATAATTTATGTGACATATTTAGATATAGAAACCCCAATAAAATACAGTACACCCGGACTAACTTTTTAAATAACGTTTTAAAGGCAAGTCGGCTGGACTATATTTTTACACCTTTTAACTTTATTCATCATGTTTTTAATGTGTTTATTACAAATACGACCCTTTCCGACCATAATATGGTATCAATTTTAATAGATTTTAATGAATGTGAAAGGGGTCCGGGTGTATATATTTTAAATAACTTATTACTTAAAGATACCATTTATGTTCAATCCATTAAGGATATTATCATAAAAGAAAAGGAAAGCCCGTTGTATTCCACTGAGATCCTGGTTTGGTGGGACAACCTAAAATATAAAATTAAAAGTTTTTCTCAAAAATATTCAAAGAAAAAGAAAAGGAAAGAAAAGGAGGAATTCTGGTCCCTCCAAAACAGGATCTCGAGGGAATACAAGAGGCTTTCCAAACAAATGGCCCCTGATTTAACATTAATTAAAGAACTAGAATTTAAGCTACAAGATTTGGAAAATATTATATGTGCAGGGGCCATATTAAGGAGTAAATTTATATACTCCACTGAAGGTGACAGGTGCTCTTCATATTTCTTAAGCTTAGAAAAACAGAGACAGAACAGCAATATTATAAAAGAATTAGAGGATAGGGAAGGTAATATTGTAAATAATACACAGGAAATTTTATATGAATGCTCTAATTTTTATTCTAATCTTTATTCCAAAGAAAAGGAGGATGATTTTTATTACATTAATGAAGTGTGCAATCATCTAAATACTTCAATATCTGACATGGACAAAGATTTTTTAGACTCCCCTATTTTAATTCAAGAAGTTTTTAATGCTTTAAACTCTATGTCTAGAGGAAAAAGCCCAGGGCTCGATGGTTTGACAACTGAATTTTTTACTCATTTTAGTGATATTTTAATGCCTTTTTATTTACATGTTTTGAATTCTATTTTTGATAATAACCTTTTATCCAGATCTATGAGAAGAGGTGTCATTGTTTTAGTTTTTAAAGAAAAAGGTGATAAGAAACTTTTAAAAAATTTTAGACCAATATCCCTGTTAAATGCTGATGTTAAACTTTTATCTAAGATTTTATCCAACAGGCTTAAGAATGTCCTTCAACAAATTATCTCCCCCGAGCAGTCTTGTGCTGTTCCTGGGCGAAGCATTTTGGAAAATGTTGCAAGTATCCGTGATGTCATTGACTATGTCGAACAAGAAAAAGAGGATATGTGGCTCTGCCAAATAGACGCAGAAAAAGCGTTTGACAGAATCTCTTTCGAATACTTGCAACATGTTCTAAAATGCTTCGGCTTTGGTCCAACCTTCAGGAAATGGGTAAAGATTCTATACACAGACATTAAGAGCACGGTTAAAGTAAACGGGCATCTGTCACCTTACTTCCCTATTTTAAGGTCAGTGCGCCAGGGTTGCCCATTGTCTGCATTGCTGTATGTATTATGTGCTGAGCCTCTTAACCAAATTATTAAGCATTCACCTGCAAAAGGCATTAGAATTAAAAACAGTGAGGCTCAGTCCCTAATATATCAGCATGCAGATGATACAACCCTGACACTTGCTGACCTTAACTCTGTAAATACTGTTTTTAGTTGTATAGATACTTACTGTAGGGCTTCAGGTGCCAAAATAAACATCCAGAAGTCAACAATTATGCCATTTGGCTCTGCTATTCACAAAACAATTAACATAGATTTACCTCTCAAAGTAGCATTTGACATAATTTTGATTCTGGGTGTTTATTTTGGACACAATATAAAGGAATGTATAAAGAATAATTGGGAAAATAAGATAAATAAAGTTCATATAATATTAAACTTATGGCATAAGAGAAATTTAACCTTATTAGGCAAAGTCACTGTCATTAATACATTGCTAATGTCTAAATTTTATTATACAATGTCTATTATCCCCATGCCTGACCATATTCAACAACAACTAAAGAAGTTAATTTTAAAGTTTTTATGGAGTGGCAAACCTCCCTTAATAAAATATGACGTCATGACATCAGACAAATCCTGTGGAGGCATGGGGTTAGTAGACATTAAATTAAAGGGACAATCTCTGCTTTTAAAATGGCTTAAACCCTATTTTAACCCTGATAATTTTAATATATGGAAATATACTATGTCCTATTTTTTAAATCTGTATGGCCCTTTTGGCCTTGATAAAGACATTTTTAAAATCCATTTTAATTTTAAACTTTTAAGTGTTCTGCCGCCTTTTTATCATAACCTGTTATTAGCCTGGGATGACTTGAATAGTAGGTCAAGACCAGACCCCACCCTTCTAAATGATATTGCAATCCAACCCATTTTTAATAACGTTTTACTAAGTAATAATAATAGAGTTTTAGCTTTTAATTATTTTATACAATGTGAAATATTAACTTTTTACGACATTTTATATTATGTCATACCAGGATTTTTAAAAAATCATTCTATTATTGACATGTTAGAGGAAAAGTTCCCTGATTAAATAAAGACAGGGTTAA